CCGCCGCGTCACTGCTGGTGTGTGTGGGGGGGGCTTGGCGCAACATGTCACTGTATTTTGAGTATTTTTGATAGGAAGTGTTGAATTGATACTCATTATGTTTTTATGATCTCAGTAGTATTATTTAACATATCTGTATATTGACTTGGTACCTTGTACTGCTTTTATTTATGTGTTTTGTTTGACTTTTCCACATCCTTTGAATGTATTTCTAGTACTGGATTTATGGCAATAAAAGACTACTACTACTACTACTACTACTACTACTACTACTACTACTACTACTACTACTACTACTATTACTACTACTACTACTACACATCTCAGTATTAATTGTAATTGCACACAATATAGGACCCATAATCCTCCTAGCACTTACCAACACACATCAAATTTTACATTGTGGAGTGGAACGCGGTAGCGTAGTGATTAAGGCACTATGCTACAAGTTGGAAGGTCGTGAGTTCAAATACCGATGAGGTCATTGTTTTTTTTTTTCAATTGACCTAATCCTTCCGGCCACACTATGGCCCTGGGGTTTACCCAGCCTCTATCAGGAATTAAATAAATAACTTCCCTGGGGAGTAAAGCGCGGCCTGCGCGTACGGCTGACAACCTTACCGCCATCTTTGAGCCGATTGTCTAGATAATGTGGGACCCTCAACGTCTCACAACCCCATGGGCCTTCATGGCCTGTTACAGGGATAGCTTTACTTACTTTCTTATACTATGGCAACAACACAGTTAATCATTTACAGTAGACTACGGATCCTGTAATTTCGCACAATACTGACTAAAGTCTCCATCTCCTTTCATGACACTTTAAAATTTCTTACCACCTACTAAGAGGCTGGCTCCATCCGGGATATCTTTCACAGCTTCTGTGGCAGTTCTTATTTTGTTCTTCTTACTTGCTCTAACAGAATATGGACAAGATAACACCTGAAATAAAGAAGAAGAGTGGTAATCATCATGTATAATATTTTCAAACTACACACAGTACGCGTGTGTCCATATTATTAAGAGATTCAACTCAACTACATTTCGAGGCTAGTATTATCGAACTCACACAATTTAACACAATCATCATCTGTGTGTACAGAACCCCTAATAGCAACATTAATATATTCATTGAAACCATGGACACAATAATTAGCAAGATACTAATCAAAGGGAAGAACATTATCATTGTAGGCGACCTCAACATAGATTTCTTAAGAAATGGAGGGGACCTACAACTACAGACAATGTTAAATTCACATGGCTTACAAGCAGTAGTGAATGTCCCAACGAGAATAGGTCCCAGAAGTCAAACAGCCATAGAGCAAATAATAATTAACAAGAACTTATGGGAATACAATCTAGAGGCGATCGACACAGGATTTTCTGACCATAATGCGCAGATAATACGAGTGCAGATGCAACACAAGAACAAAAAAGGGCAAACCAGATTAGAGGGAGAATGCAGAATGGCCAGATCATATAAAGAAGAGAATGTCCAATACCTATGCAATCTACTAGATAAAGAGACCTGGGAGCTCGTCTTTAAGCAAAAATCAGCGAATGATGCATATAATGAGTTCCTAGGTACTTTCCAATATTACTATGAAATAGCAATGCCTAAAAAATGGTTAAAGAGCAAACAGTATGCAAATAGATGGGTGACCCTAGGTATAAGGACATCAGGGAATAGACTCAGATTTCTTAACAGGCTAATGAAGGAAGGAAATGT